CAAGAAATTCTTTTAAAACGTAAAAATTATAATAAAACTAAGTAGATCAAAAAAATCTTCAGGAAGGTTTAGAAAATAGCAAAACAAGTGGCACCGCTACATTTGTAGAGTTTCTATTTCTTTGAGCTTAATACCAAGCTGAATAGATAAGTAAAATGTAGATAGTAACCTTTTTGAGTTTCTCAGTGTAACTTGCTGCTACTGCAGTAAGATCAGTTTATTTTAAATGTTTTTACGTCTTTACCAGAAGTTCGTGATAAAATTCTAAACATAAACAGAAGTTTAATCTACTAAACCACATATATAAATTAATTATCTGTTTTAAACAGAATGATGCTAAATCTTGATGTTTTGCTCCAACTTTCTGTGTGGTTGTAGTATCACAGGCAGGAAGGCTCGAGCGCTGTACGCTTGCAAGGCAGAGCACGACTCAGAGCTGTCCTTCATCGCTGGGACCGTCTTTGAGAATGGTGAGTCAGATGCCGGAGCTGGCAACAGTGAAGGAGAAAGACAGGATGTGTGTTGGCGTTATGGAAGTTAATTTGTTGTGAAAACACACAGTAAGCCGTAGGGATTTGCATTTCCTCAGACTTCCTTGTTACGGTTTGAAAGATTGTCTTCACCCTGCAAAATACTTTCTTAATATTCGAGTAAAGGAGCTGTTTGCTTAGTTTTTATTAAGACAAAGGAGACAAAGGAGGATTTTCATTAGCTTATTTGTCTTTTCTCCTACATGACTGGAAGAATTTAACATGTCAGCTTTTTTCAAAACTCCCACAATAGCTTCCTTTAAGTGAAGGCCATATTTGCACAGACTTAAATGTGAAAAACTATGAAAACTGTCTATACGCTGACTCACTCATTAACACTCACCGCAGCGCTTCACCTGTCTATCTGAATCTGTGTATTTATTGAAGAAATTCTGAAATGACAAACACACATAGCATTTTCTTGTTCTTACACGCTGACCTTTAAAATCTAAATAATGTTGGCATCTTAAAGACTATTGATAGTTATGTAATGCAGAGCAGTGTCATGTGAGCCCTCATGGGTCAAACTTTGTCCGTGGGGACATGTAATCCTCAAAGTGGTATCTGAACACTGCAGGCTTTTCATCAGCAGCCAAGGACGAAGCATTTAATCTGTCCTCAAGAAGCTCAGACTACAACCTCCATGATGTTTTTTTAAAACAGTCGTAATAATAACGCTGCTTTACAACATATGATTGCTTCCTGACTAGCACAGATATATTCAGTGATTTGAACTCTCAGAAAAACATAAAGACCAAACAGAGAGAACATCACTTTTGGAATGATGTTCTTTGGACAGATAAGTCCAAAGATAAATCTAGAGTACATATTGACAAAAAAAATAAATAAATTATAGCTCTCCAAAAGAAACTCTTGCCATCTGTGAAGTGGAAGTGGAAGTGCCATTTTTTTGCTGCTGCAGGACCTGACCAGGTCAACATTTAGCTCACCTCAGAACCTGCATGTGTAAAATGTAAACCAGTCTGTAAAGAAAACTTGAAACAGAACTGCAGCCGTTAGCATGATAGTGACCCACATCTCATGTCACTTTTGTATATTTTATGTCTTGATTGTCAAACATTGTGTCCCAGATTAGTTTCTGCACAACAGCCTGTTATTCCTGAACATATCGGACTTGACACATAAAGCTACACTTGTCATTAAGCTCACATATTTGTTTAATATTTGCTTTGTTAATGTCTAGTTTTGCTATAACTTATTGATAACGCAACTCAAATTGTATAAAGCTGAAACCAGATATCTGCACAGTAATACGATAACTTCGATTTACTTGATGCAAAATTAAAAAGACCTCCAAAAACGAAGGTCTTTCATTTCTCTTACAAAATTTAATCTGTTTTTTTATGTTGCTTTTGGAATCTGGACTTCTTATATTCCTGAGTGGCCTTTCAGTTGACATTGTTGTTGGACTTTCACTGTTGTCATCATCTTCAAAAACGTCTTTTTTTCTGCAAATTTAAACCAAAACAAGTTAATCTCTGGGACATGAGAACACATTTGTTTCAACAGACGAATGTTGCAACATGTGAAAGTTTCAAATTGTGTTGCTGATTTCTTGGTTGACTATTTCTTCCCATTATGTCACAGGAACCATTGTGGGTGAGGTGTTGCTTTAACATACATTCCTCGGTGTGCCTCTATTGAACTCAAATGTTGTGAATTAACCTGTCAGCAGCTTACAAAGCCATAACATCCCCTGCACTTTCCAGAATTGCTTAAAGTCTAATTAATCTTATTGTGTGTAAATATCTCATTTCAGCAACTTAATTCATGCCGTTATATTTTACGTCTTTCTGCTGCTTCCTTGCAGTTCATGCTTCCAGGGAGCCCGGCTGGCTGGAGGGGACTCTGGATGGTCGAACTGGACTCATTCCAGAAAACTATGTGGAGCTGCTATAGCCACAGCTGGACCAAGAAACCCAACGTAGACCAAGCTGGACTTGACTGCACAAAACTCCTCTGGAGCAGATTTTATTGACTTTGTGTTGACTAGATTGGAGAATAGAAACTGGACCAAGCAGAACCATATCAAAGGGATTTGGCGCAGGACTGAAGCATTGTGGATTTTGTCTGAATTGCACTGGGAAGAGAAAGAGGAAAAACTGAAACTGTTTTGTGATTGTGTTGATCTGAGTTCACAGTGAAGAAGATGTAAGTGTTATTGTGTCAGGGTGTAGATAACATGAGGGTTTGGTGAAATTACTCTTCTAAGTGAGCTGATATATTTGAGGTGAGAGCTGGGATTAATTTTTTAAATGTCTGTTTTATTACTCTGATCTGGACTGACACTTCCTCTTCGTTGCCCTTTGTCATTAAGCATTCACTTCATTATTGACAGGGAACAAGATAAATGGTAAGTGGCCTTCAGCTTTAAACTGTTAGTTCACCTCTCCATTGTTTGGTCGCTAATCCCCTTGGGAAATTTGAGCCTGGAACCAGACGGTGATGATTGGGCTCGGCTGTAAACATGTTTGCAGTCGCTCGTTCCAGGGGAAGACAGTCCGCTTCGCTGATGTTTAGCTGATGTCTGCCCCAGGGCAGATCCGCAAGGCAGATGAATATGCTTCAAACGGTTTGGGTCAGCGATGGTGCCACGCTCATTTATAAGTCTTTTCCTTTGCAGAGGCATCACTTGGAAAATAGAAATGTGAAAAATCTCACACAGGATCCAGAGGCAGCTCAGCAGTTTACAGTGAGGCGTAGGAGGAGCGACTGATTGCTGCTGGTTATAACAAGCCCAGATGCAAGGCCTTGCTGCGAGTGGAGAAATGATGAGTCATGTTTGCACTATGTTGGTCCATTCTTGGAATTCCAATCAACAGGAAACGTTTTCTCTCTCTATTTTTAACATTACAAAGCACCTGTGTGTTATTTTCCCTCTCTTACTTTTTCCATAATGCGGAATCTGAAGCTTTAATATTAGCAGCACAGAGAGAGAAGACATAATGTCATTCCTCAGCTTTGATCACATTATGAGGAATTATAAAGACAATATTAAGCATAATGATGTGAGGACAGAGTGACATTTTGATTTTATAGTTTATATATCATTTTCTGGGCTGCAGCGACTGCTCTTGTTTCCTGAGGTGAATGTTTTGGTAATAATTAGCTTTTTTTCCCTGTTCTATCTTTTATTATCAACATGATTCTTTTTAAAGAGATTTTTAAAAGGAGAAAAACTAATGGGAAAGTAAAAAAGCAAGCTAATGTGAAATAAGACTACTTTGTTCATATATAAACTTATTTATAAGATTTTCTTGAACGTAAAATTCCAGACTTCATCCTTTTGAGGTGTTTTTAATGATCCTGTAAATAAAAACAGCATTTTCATGGGATATATTTTTTTCACAAGTATGAAATTTTATATTTTGTATTTCTAGCTTACTAACTTAATTCCATTATTGCATTATTTGTTGCCAGAATTTTCTATCATTTATGTCTGTTCACAGCCTTAAATATTCCTACAGATTTTGGTGAAGGATTGTGAAGAATTAAAGATACATCTCAAGCAACTTCTGCTTTGAGTTTTACGTTTTACGGCTGGAGTTTTTGATAAATTTCTTGAGTGAGACAAAAAATATATTTTTTAATATTGGCCAATTTCAGTCACAGGCTGATGAATCGGTTCACCTTTGTTTGCTGTTTTCTATCCCACACTCTTCTAATCCTGAAAAAAAGGGACCCTCTACTTATTTAGAAATGTCTTTTTTATTTCATTTGAAGTGGATTCAGCAGAAACACTGGCATCTTTGGGTAAATGTTAACTCTTGCTGCATGATTATTAAATACCAAGTGATTTATTTTACTCCTTTAATGACTTAAAACTTTTTGCCATTTCTCAGTGCAGATCATCTGATTGGGTTGAGCTCTGATTTCATCTGAGTGGTTCACCACTTAATTCAGTTGCCTTTCAAAGGAATTAAATAAAATCAAATCAGATTAGACAGACTTTAGGCAGTTTGTTTTGTATTTGATAAAGCCTGTTAAGCTTTTTTTTTTTAAAGTTGTTCACTGGCCCAATAATGCTAGTTAAAAATTTTACTTTTGATCAAAGCAATAGTCCAGCTTTCTTTCCTCTATTTTTACCTTCTTGTTTGTGAAAAAAAATAATAAAAGGAATTGATCCGAAATTAATTCCATGCAACTTTGCTTCATTAGATATGCATGTTTTATTATCTGGAAAAATGATCTTAACCTGCCCATATTGGATCCTATTCAGAACTGAATTAGATTGCACCATGTAAATGAAGTCTAATTTTTTTTACATGGTCACAAAATTTTAGGCTTTTCCACCAACAAAATGTACTTTAAACTCAACCTCATGATGTTAACTTCACCACTTCATAGTTTTTGTTTCGTATTGAAAATAATCAAATTACACTTGAATAAATATGGCCATTTCTATCAGCCAAGAGGAGATACCTGACTGAAATAAGTTTTAGGCAGCAGTGTTGCAAAACAGGAACTTTATTGTGTAAGATGCTTTGAACTAGAGAAAAATCAGTTCTTCCACATTTCTGCCTTGAACCAGAGATAACAGACATCATCTGACACAATGCCAAATCCAATGTTGACAAAAACTAAACCAAAAAAAAAGAAGAAAAAAAAACAAACAAAAAACACAAAAACCTAATTTAACATGTAATCAAATAGGGGAAAATATTGACACTGAATACAGAAGTGTGAATATAAACCATTTTTAAACTTCTTTATATCTATATTTGTCTTTACATTACATTACATCTACATAACTGACATATGAACAAAAACAGACTTCAGTGAAAGCCATAGCTCTGTATACCAGTGAAACATGATCTGCCCTTAATGTTTAAAGATAATTGCATGTATTTTATACAAAGTAGACTGTGACAACCCATGTGAGGGTAGTGCAATTTTGTCAGGCTCTGGAAAACTTATTTTCACATGGAGATATTGTTTTTCCTTGTATTTTTTTTTTTTAAATGACCAGTAGATCTTTACAGCAATATACAGGAGATCCAAAGCCAAGACCTTTTAGAAAAAAACAAACAAAAAAAAGACACATTTGAAATAAAACCCAAAGTGCTAAGAAGTAAGCTCATAGGTGCTACACAAATTGTAACTGCTTGATTACATCAGTTTGTTTTCAGTTACTCCTCTGCTTTGGTCACTGTTGTTTAGCGCAAAACAAAAATTCAAAAATAAATGTCCTCTAGTCGGTTGCCCCAAGAGCCCGCTAGCTCACCTCTTCCTTATATAGTTTCATTAAAAAAAAAAAAAACACAGTGAGCATTCTTGTAGATTTGTGCACACACTTGTAGAATTGACATTTACTTCACAAGACAAACACTTCTTAATGTATTCATCACTTCTAATGATCTTTATCAAACACAAACGGGGAAAAAATTACTTTTTTGACTTATTTAATGTACAAAAATGATTAATTAAAATTAGTCATATCAAAGAGGATCAGGATAATGTATTTAAAAATCACACAAAATATATATATATATATTTTTACAATAGATCAACCTCCAAAAGCACTGATATTTGTCTATTTCCTGATTTGAAATTGTATTTCTATGGCTCTCTGTCTCCCTTTTGCAAGGCTTTTAGTCAAACTGAAATGTATAAGAAAGTCGTGAGTGCTGACAAACATGTAAAAATATGTTTTTTGTAATAACAGACACTTGTTTGCATTGCAATGGATATGTCACCGTTATTTATATACATCTAACCCTAAAAACAAGCCGTGGGGACAAGGGGGCGGGGAGGGGGCATAAAGCTCGTCTCCAGACTTGCCACTACCTGAATACGAATGTAATACTGAACATTCGTAATAACTGTAAATCCACCTGAAACAAGAGGATTCAGTTAAAATCCTGATTGATCAACACGCTGGGATAAAAGCAGATTCTGGGTGAGCTACAGCCGAAAAGCCTGTGAACTAAACAGTGACCCAGTAGGATTGGCTTCAAAGAAAAGAACATATGGCTCTTAATAGAAGAGTACTGCTAATTGTTTGTGCATCTAAGTAAAGAGCTGAAAATCCATATGATGTTTCTACACAGGTTCATGTATAAACTCCACTTTTCCAGACTCAGTTTTGCAGCATTCCCAGTTCTTTCACTTTAAGTGAATAATTATTAATGTTTTGTATGAATTTAGGACTGATATTTCAACTATACAAAAGCCAACAACAGGAGGAGGAATACAAAGAAGAGAAATAGGACAAAAGGAAAGGAACAGAAGGAACAACAACGTTAAGGAACAGGACAGCCATAAAAATGAAAACATTTCTTTACGCATACTTCTTTCATGCTTGTCAAAACTCTATAGAAACCCTGAAAGCCAACATCTTAGTTAGAAAAACAAAGGGCAATAGAGCAGGAAGGTGAACAGTGTTGTGTTTAGACTCAGCAGAAGCAGTTGCAAACATGAACAGTAGATTTGGCCACAAAGCTGGTACGAATGCTTTATCCACATAAACGACCGCAGCAACATCTGAATCTGAAAAAAATAATCATCTTTTAAACAATTGATCCTAATTAGCTGGTGTTATCTGTGACACTGTAGATCGAGCACCCTGAAGCAAAGTTACAAACCACCACTGTACACATGACCCTTCACATCTGCAGGATATTAAAAGAAAACTGATTAAAAAAAAAAACTCGTAATATTTGGCACAAATAGGACAAAAATATCTGATGTAATGAGACATCGCCTGAGCAAGAATAAACTAATCATGTGGACTAGACTGCAGCTTCTTACGTTTCAAATGGATGGATTCTACAATTAATTAAAAGGCAGGTTTTATGTATAAAGTGTATATTTAGACGCACCATTCACTGTTTTTTCAACTTTTTTCAATAACATTTTATAAAATCAGAGCATGAGGGGAAAAGTAGCCCAAATATATTTTCTGTTACATTTCTATTAGAAATCCACCAATCAAAGATTTATGAAAAAAATAAACAGTTCAGATTGTATTACTACATAAAAACTGCATGTACTTCATGCATATTCTTGTGCTTAATAAAAATCTGATACTTGTTCCATTATACTTTAATATTGTAGATCCTTGCAGGTTCTATAGGATTCAAGTTTACCTGCTGTATTAAAGAACCTGCAGCACAACACCTAATGCGTTATCGTCCTTAGCACCCAAATATTAATTACTCCAAAATGGAATGGGGACGTAAGACCTCAAAGAAAACTGGAAGCTGCTACAGCCTGGAAAAAGCTTGATTGGTGATTTCAAGACGCTATCACCACCTTTAAATGACATGACTTTATTGACTTTCAAAATACCAGAAATGTCCAATTCAAAGAGAAATCAGAAGTTGAGCAAACTAAAGCCAGCCAAAACATGAAGGTAAAAAAAGAGATGCATATGCAAGCGATGGCTATAATTAGCATAAAAACTAAAAGGCACTAGTTTTCCCTCAGATACATCCTGTGTAAACATGTGTCAGGTTGAACTGACCCTGATGCCTGGTGTGAGCTCTGAATGCGTGATCAGCGATGTGTACCTGCATAAAAACACATGAAGAAGGATCCACAAGCTGCTTTGTTTTTCTATTCTTCCATTGGTCATATCTTTTTTTTTTGTCCTTGAGTCCAGAAGAAAAGTTAGATTATTTTGCAATGTGTCCCCTTCGTCTCCAGACCGTGACCAACACTCACAGAGCAGAGAAGCACAGCAGGCGAGCGGACTGACACCAGGCAGGCAGATCAGGCTGGCGAGCATCGGTGTGACGAAACGGTTTTAGTAATGCAGGCAGGAGAGAGTAAGAGGCCATAGGACATCTTTAGAAACATTAAATGTCTGAGGTCTGGAGGTGAGGATTGAGAAAAAAAACACAGACGTTCTAAAGAAACATTCTTATTGTTCTTGGTGTGCCAAGAGACTGAGCTACAGTCAGTGGTAGCAGGTTTGAGGCTATAGGTAATTTCTGATTTCAGGCTGACCAGACCAGGGTGGCAAAACCAAAACCAAAATCTGAACCAGACTTATAGGGGAAAGCAGAACTGGTGCAAGAGAGCCTGAAGCAGTGAGGCAGTTAAGGCATCGATTCACAGTTTAAGGCCGTCACTTCTGATGAAACAGCAAAGGCTTGACGCTCCCGTCTTTGAATTTTGGTATCTGGTTGGTGATGATCTCCGTCAGCATCTCTGGGAATTCCACGCTGAGAGTCTTATTCACAAAGGTGTAGAAACAGACCTGCAGGAGACCCTCCACCATCTGGAACGGGACACACACACACACCCGGTCTTTAATGAGAATCGTTCTGTGAAGCTGTTTTCTGTTCGCTGGATGCTTTTCAAAGAAAGTGTGCTGCGATGAACAGAATATCAGAGGAGCTACAAAGAGTTGGAAGAGATTTGAAGGGAACATGAACACTGCAAAAACAATCTTACCAAGTATTTTTTTCTAGTTTCAGTGCAAATATCTTAGTGAACTAGGAGATTGATGAAAAGAACTAGTTCCATTGGCAGATTTCTTTTTTACTTTTAACAAAAAAATTCAAGAATTTAATCAATTCAAAAAATTGAAAAAAAAATTACAAGAGAAAAATTCTTACATCTTGCTGAAAAGTTATTGGTAAGTTAGTTTTATCTTAATTAAAGTATACTGAGGTATTTGAAAAAGAAACTAAACCAAAATTAACTGATAAAATTTTGTGTTTTTGTAGTGAAACCACTCATTTATGAAAGGAAGTAGCAAGTCTGTGAATAATATGAATCAAAACTCAGCTTAAAGTAATTTTCTCCAAATGATTGAAATTTTCAGACACTCATGTTTTAGGACTTAAAACAAATTTTAATGTCAGATAAAGTGAGTAAAAGCAAAATCCAGTCAGATTTGTGTGAAGAATTAACATGGTGCCACATTGATTTCTATGTTTCATTCAAACGGGCTACCAGAGCAGATGGCCTGACTAATGAACAGCTGTAAGAGAAGAAGAAAAAGTCCCATTTCGCTGAGCAGATATGAGTGTTTGTGTAACAAACCTCCTGCATGGAGTCCAGTAGCTTAGTTAGCTGGTAGAATCGCTGCCAGTTCTGACTCGTGTTCTCCTCTCTCTTCACAATGGCTTTCCCTAGCTCCTTGATGTAAGTCATCCTGATCTCATCAAAAACCGCCTGGCTCTTTAGGCCTTCTTTTGGAACTGCACACATGGAAAACAGAGGCACACAGAAATGACTGTGGGTGTAGCTTAGATGGAAATAAATATAATTTTCAAAAATTGTCCCCAAGAATGGGGACAATATTTCTTTAGTCTTTTGTTTCCTTGTTGTTTTGTTTTGTCTGTTTTTTTTCACTCCCATTCAGATAATCCTGAGCTTGTGAGGAGCTGGAATAAAATCCAGAGTATTTTGTCACACCTTTTGTTCAAAGTGCAATTATATTCACATCTTGACAACCAACCAATTTTATTGACTTTAAACTGCAAAGGGAAAGAGAACAGTATATAAAGATTGTCCTTTAAGACTCAGGAAGGTTGAATACATATGCACACCACACTTTTTAGAGTTTTATATCTCAGAAAACATATTTACCATTTGCCTTCCACTTTATGAATATGGATTACTTTGGGGTGGTCTGCAACATCAAATTCCAACATATTCAAAACTGCACTTGTACTATTACAGAAAGTGTAAGAGTTCAATAGTTTTGTAGGGCTAAAATGCTTCTCTGGCTGAAGCTGATAAAACAAAAAATGCTTCCTGGGTTGCTTCAGTTTTGATAAATGTGCTCTCGAGTTATTTAATCAGCTCTTACCAAAGCTGTCCTGACCTGATACTTTCTCCTTCACTGTGGGGACCAGATGGAAATAGCTCTTAGGTACAAAAATGCAACCTGTGCTCACTATGGAAATGTAATCTCTCTGAAGAGCACACTTTTCCCTGAATGTCAAAGAAACAGCTAGAAAGAACAGTCTATTCCTCTGCAATTCACAGTTTGCAAAGGAAAGGGGAAGAGAACTGTCTTGGTGTTTAATAGTGTAAGAATAACCAAAAGAGACTGTGTGTCCAATTCTTTAACATTTTCTGTACAATAAAAAGGCTGAAAAGCATTTGCATTTTCCTCTGATGTAGTTAAGGTCATTCTTTTAATTTATAACAGTTTGGAAAGCAACTCAAATCCATTCAGACATGATTAAGACTACATGAATAAATCGCTGGTCAGCCACCAAAAATGGAACATTCGAATCTGGGAAATGAGACTTTCTTGTAATGAGTCTCCTCTCATTATTTTGACAATTTCTGACAATTACATAAGTCAGAAAGCAGCATATAACTAATTTCCTCAGAAAAGAAACAAAATTACGTCCATCTTGACAACCTGTATTCTTCAAGTCAAAACAAGGAAATTGGGTTTCTTTCAGGAAATTGCTTTTGAAAAACTAATGACAAAATGCTGATTTTAATATTTAGCATTGTCAAAGATCATGTAAGAAAAAATGAAATGTTATTATAAAGATTCTTATGAAATAATTTTATGAGCTTGATGCTTAAAATGAAAGCAAAGCTACAATTCCTGCTTATTTTTAAAAAACAAAAATACAAGAAACCTTGAAATGAACAGCCAAAGGGAAAAAACATCCCTTCAGTACTTTCAACAAGGAGATAAAAAAAAAAAAATCATGATTAAACCAACCAATCACAAATAATCGATTTCTGATGCAGTTTTCAATTTTTGGATGAAAATTAGAAAACTGTCCAGATTTAAGATTTACTGACCAATTCTAACAATTTTCTTTTGCTAGAATATCAAAATTTAGTTTCTCAGAAAAACACAAAAAAAATTCAGAATATTTCATAATCCTCTCCCAGATTCACCAGTGGGATTCATTCTAATATTCTTAAGGTCAGTCCATGTTGCTTCTGCACTTTTTCCATCTACTAAACTTTCCGGTAATAAGCTTAGGCAAAGCAATCTGTAAAGACTCAGCTTCCCACATCTATATCTTCTTTATTAGATTCATTTGGTAATAAAATCTGCTGGAAAACACTCCGTAAAACCCGATAGATAATGAGTTCTAACACATCACTAAGGTTCATCAATAAGATTCTTTATAAAAAATAAGGAACCTTTATTGATACATTCTTTCCCTTAATTTTTATATTTAATTAGAATTTTTCACAATAGAACATCATTAAGCAGTCAAATAAAAAAAAAAACATTCTGTTGAAATCTTTTAATAGAATGCTAAGAGGTGTTTTATTACCTGTACTCAGCAGTAACAGGACCTTCATGCAGAGGTACTCATCATAGGACACCTGCAGTCGGACAAACTCATTGCAAATCTTCAGCATCTGCTCACACTGCTCACCCATTAAAGGCAGCTTCATGCGCTCTCTGGAACAGGACAGGGTGCACAACAAACAGACGGAAGAAATTTTTGTTTGATTCAACATCAATTTTTTGATTCTGTAATTATTTTCTTTTAATTAAAAGTGATACAATACTGCAAAAAACATCAAAAAAATAAAAACAAGAATATACATTTTTAAATCATACTTTCATTCTTAAATGCAACAAACAATAACGTATCATCAACAATTGAAATGGCACTGGCTGTGACTCACTCAACTAAAGCTTGTTCTTTCACTGCTCAGTACATTTTAAATCTTAATAGAAAGTGATGCTTTTATCGAGCAAAAGAAAAGCAGCTATGAGGGTTCAGATGCTCATCTAGTGCAATCCCTTACAAAACATTTCAAAACACCATTGTTCAGGAGAATGAAAATGAGACATGGATTTTGAATCTTTTTTATAAAATCAATTATTTTTTTAAAATAAAATTACATGGGGGCATGTATTTAACCACCTTTTGCTGCAATAACAGCTGCAAGTACTATAAGAAATGTCTCAACCAGCTTTACACATCTAGATGATGAAACATTAATCAGTTTTCTTGTCTGAGTGTCTGAACATCAGATTTTTCAACCCTGCAACAGATAATTAGATTAATAAATCTATCTGATAATGTGTTGCTGATGAAAGACTTAAAAGTATTCAGATGTCTGGTACGTACTCATTTATGACGAGATCTGGAGCAAAACAGAGCATTTTGCCGTTACATTGCTCAAAGGACCTCCAGCCGAGGCTGAAGGACATGAGGAAAAGCCAGGAGCACTGCAGCAACGTCATCTGATCATCGAGGTGCAGGTTACGGAAGCCTGAGAGGGACACATAAACTCTGTTAAATATACAGGCACGAAAATGACACAACCAGATAAAGTGAATCCTAACATAAAATTTAACATTTTCATTTTCTTTTAGAATATCTGCCTAAATTTTTTGGAGGGGTTAGATTGCAACTTTCCCATAAGGTTTTACTGAAACAATTATTGTTCTCTTTAAAATAAATTAAGGTTAAGATTATGTTAGCATGATGTCATCCTGTATGTTAAATGCATGACATACCAAGTGTACATTTTCCATAGGTAACTATGATATGAACTTTGTCAATATCAAAAGACACATTTAAAAAATATATCATTTTTAGAATAATATTCTTTTGATAATCATAAATGCCCAGCCACTAACAAGTAAGTATACAGTGATGGTGAAAATTGTTTTGAAACTAAAAATTTACCAATCATGGCTTTAAAAAACAATATTTAATATTTCAGAAAATTAGCAGTCCACAGAATAAACTGAAACTAAATTGCATACATTTGTGGAGTGAACTGCTGTAACTGCATTTCCTCAGTTGCAGTGATAGCAACCTCATATAATTTGTCTCATATAAAGTCTTCCCTTTAGGATGATGGTTTGTGGGTAATGTGGTTTTGAGTTGTTTCAGGATGTTGTCTGTAGTTTACGCGGTTCAACAATTGTGTAAAATTTAGAATTTTTATGAGAGCTTATTGTATGCTTTCAATGCTCTCTCTCTCTCTCTATATATATATATATATATATAGATGGATTTGTAAAGGGAGGGAGCCAGAAACAGACTGTTGCATTTTGGTGGCGCTACATCTGGAAAATTCTCATTTATCAAGCTGTAATACTCCTTGATAAATTGCTTTCAATTAATACTGAAAGCAATGTTCATTGTTGAATTTTTCTAGTAGAAAGTTTTTTTTTTCTGGTTTTATGTCACATACATAAAACCAGATGTCTTCATGAATTTCTGAAATTCTCACTGTGTTCTCAAACACCAAAAACGAAGCTTTAAAACACCCCATTTATGATCATTTAAAGAGGAATTCACCTTGATCATTATCAAAGTTATCTGAGTTCTGACATGAGCCACAATTACTCCACGCTCTCATTCAGCTGCTGGAAACCACACATTTTATCACAAGGTAGTTGAGCATCTGTCTCTACTGCAGGGTAGAGGCATAAAAACCAGTCCTCTACTTACAATCTAACCAATTAAAGTAGCTCAACCACGACGTGCCTTCTGTATTTAATCAGATACAAGCAGCCTCGGCTTTGCATTACGAACTCTTGAATTTCAGAAACGGTAGATTTTCAAACCTGAAAAAATGTCATCTTTTACTGAGACATCTGGAGAGTCGTTTAAAGGTTAACCAACTACTAAAAAAGGTAAAGATCAAAACCACACTTAAGGGTGAAGAAGATTTTGCTACCTGGCAGCGACTTGGCCCATTTGACGGCAGAGATGACCTGCTGGCCTCCCAGTCTGTTGAGGGTGCTCATGAGACGAGATGAGCTGTCCGGCAGCGTGCTGTCGTAGCCTGAGTAGATGATCTCGGGCTCGATGGCCTTCAGGACGGACAGCATGGTGGGCACGAGCTGTGGCATGCTTCTGGGTACGATGGGCATGGGCAGGCTGCTGGCAGGTTCTGAGGGCCTGGATGGAGTTTGCACTTTAATCTTGTTAAGCTTCTTGTTTTTCCTCGCTGAGGGGACAAGGTTGTCAAAAAATTTGAATTTATTAACATATATAACATATATTAACATATATCTATTACAAAATTATTATTGTTAGAAGTATGAATTTTATGTGATAAACAGAGAAATGCCAAAAAAATAAACAGAGCAAATTTAAATGAAAAACAATAAATATTCAAAATGTCAGTGTTCTTCTTAAGCCTTCATTTTTTTATTTGTTCTTCTTAGCCATCATTTGATCCAGGTGCATTAAACCAGAGAGGGAACCAAAACATCTCGAGGTCCGACTTTGGGCACCACTGTTTCAGAGAAACGGAGGTTCTCAAGGGGAGTCTAGCTAAGGGTTACGTTCCCATTTAAAACTTTTACATGAACAATTTCTCCTTAAAACTTCAACACTAATTCCACTTTTGCATTAGAATTTAACTTGATAAATATGTTGTTCTGGTCTGTTGGGGAATATATAGCAAAATGGAGAATGTTAAGCATAAATTACCAGAAAAACATGAAAAAATGATATAGAACGAAAACAAACTTGACAATAAAGAAAAAAACAAATATTTCTTTTCTTTTTATGTCCAGAGCAACCAGGTGAAGAGCTAAACTGCTGATGCAGATTAACTGATTTACCACTGAGAAAACATTCAACACTCCCCTATGGTCATATGATATGGATTATGACCAAAAGAACAAGATCTTGAACACAAACAGTTAAAATCAGCTTTTCAGAACTGTCAGGTCTATTTCTGAGCCTCTCTATGAGCTGCACAGAAAAGTCCTTGAAGGCTGGACTTTAAGTTTTAGATGCGCCCTGAGTCAAATTCTCAGTCGCCAAGTGCTTTAAAGACCTGTTAACAAATTAATAATTTATTGATAATATTTGGGTGCTGCTGCAGTTTTAACATGGCAATAAATATTTTGAGCATGACCATGCTAATATTACAATCAAATGAGTCACTGTTTGTTCTTCAGGAGAAAATAAACAGCAGGAGAAAATTCCGTGGACATCTTGTAAGTAATCCACATATTATAAAATGGGATACAATCTTGAATAAAACCTATATTTAAATCTCTGCTTAGCCTGAATTAATTAATTTAACACTGACTTAGCACTTTTGTCAGCCTTTGGCCCCAGATTAATGCAGATTTATGTATTTAAAAGTAAGAAGGAAGAGCATATCGGGTCAGGAACGGCACTTCAGCTACTTTCCAACCCTTAAGGTATGCACTGTTATAAAGATCAACAAAACTCTAATATCCTGGTTTTTCTGACTTCCTCTCCATTACTGCACTAGTTTTTGCTCACACTCTCTACATTTTCTGGGTGCCATTTTCTGTGACTAAATGTGACAAACAGATGTGGAGAGGTTAACACTGGAAAAAAAGAAATAGCAAGCTTTTTCTACACTCTATCTTTTTTAATTTCCTCCCCTGGCGTTTCTATGGCAACAGTAAGCCTTTCAATACAAAGCCTGTCTGTTGATGCACCGACGTCCATCAAATCCCACTTCCTGTCCTCCTGTCTGTCTTGCTAACCACCAGCTTGTACAAAGTATATCAACAGCAATTTAATACGCTAAAAAACCAAAACATGTGCTTAACTAACATCCAACTTCAATGCAATTAAAGCAGCTGCTGTGTTAAACCTGATGACTCCCAGATTCAATGCTTTTTTTTAATGCCTAAGTTCATGGTTCCTAAAAATATTGCTATCAAACTCAATATTTTACACATTTTTTTTCTTAAAAATGTTTGTATTAAGACTCCTCAAAATTAAAAGTAGACATTTTAACAGTGATCGAGCTCAACATGCTCAAAACACAATAAAAACGACCCAAATTCAAAACTTAAGAGAGCAACAATAATTAACATTTCTTTAAAAGATGTATTTTCCTTAAAACGGCCTTGGTCCTGTAAAAGGTCAGATGTCGGATGACATTTCAGAAATAACAAGAGGGCTAAATATGCATGAGTAAATTCTGGGATTTCTACGTTGTGTTTCATTTAAATGAAAAACAATTTGACAAGGAACAGAGCCACTCAAGGTAAAACTTTCCAAATCTGATCTCATTGTTGTGTGATTGGTGCGTTTCTAAAAGCTGCTCCTGAGAGAAGGGGTTCATTATTCTGGCCATGAATGAGCATGTTGCAGAGGTAACACCAGTTTTTCAGGTTCAGTGGCAATGCTCTGGCAGTCAAAACAAAAAGAACTGCTGCCAAGTGATCACAAGCTCCACTGCTTTTACCGATTTTATATACATGCAATATGAAAACACAGACCAGCTGTTTCAGGAAATTAATGACAGCAATATAGATTTGAATCTTTTCAGAAAAAAACTTTTCATTTTCTGCACCTATTCAAATCTTGACAAAACTGAAAAGAAAATTTGATATTTTGTTGCAGACTGAGCAAAAACTGACTCAATATAAAGTTGTATCAAGGTTGGATTCTGAACAAAGTAGCAAATGACTTATTCTGAAGAAGTGCTACTCTGTTATTTTCTCTTCCTCCCAAGACTTGTTTTTAAATCAATATTGACAATGACGTAAAGGAGATTCTGAGAAAGTTCTTAACCGAAATATTTTTGCTCAATTATTGCAAACCGTTAACCAACATATAAAAACATTTTCTGACATGCTTTTGAACATTTCTTGGCTTTTTGAAACAGTTTCTGAATATGCTCTAAAGTCAGTTTTTCAGCAACCCAAAAATAACAGAATGTTTTACAAAATCAGTCTATACTAATTCCAAAGTAGATGTTGGGTGCAAAGTTTTCAACAAATCTATTTTTTCAACAGATCTATTTTTCTAATATACCTTCTTTAACAATTTTTTTTTTGTTTCACTGCAGTGAAAGGCAGTCATGCAAAGTATCACAAGGAAGTGTATACTGTACTAGGGCTTGTAACACTTTCAATCTAAGAAGGTTTATGGATATTTTTGCAAGCTACTTTATACTGAGTTTCATTTTTCCTCTGAGGTCTTTATTGTGCAAATTAATCATATCTTTCTGGAATATAACCCCCCAGCGTAACAAAGTGGTTGTAGAAAGGTGTAGTTAGAGGGAGACCGTTCTTCCTCTTAATTCCTTGGCTTTCCATTTTACTCAGGATTTGCACGGCCATGCCAACATTTAAGTGAGCCAATGCATTCAGTCCTATTAAGCTTATTTGCTTCCTTTTTTACCCAGGAATTCCTCTCCCTGAAAAAGCTGAGTTACAGTGAAAGACCAGAGCAGACCTTGTTCATTCACTTGCCACAGTATTTACCTTCCAGGTTCATTCCAGCCTGGAGACATTTCCTGAAGCGACATGCTGGACAGTTCTTCCTGCGGATCTTATCAATGATGCAGTCATTTCTTCCCGCGCACAGATAGTTGTGCTGACCTGTAAAGACAAATGGAGGAGGAAGAGGAGAGGGGATAAGGGAGACACAAATTAGCCGACTAAGACGGTTTGAGGAGGATTAGCCTGAGCAGCCTGCAGAACCACTTTCGCCACCTGTTGATTTTATAGCAAACCCTCACAAACTTGTGGCATCCCAGTAGTGTTGACAGCGGCACCCTCTCAAGTCTGTGTTTCTACCACCAAGCTGATTTACCTCTTAATAAATGTTTATTCTACACAAGCATTGTGCCATAACCACTACAGACGTGGGAGAAAAAAAAGAAAGTCTTTGATTAGAAGCAAGTTAATAAGAAAAGGGAGGCAGTGATAGATGTGTGACCAGAGGGAAGAAATTCAGTAGATTTCCCTTTTGCTTGTGCAACAAAGTAAAGCCCTTCTGGGGAATATTTCTACACCACGTTATTATCACCTCTTAATATCTTTTTGATTTGATGCTTTACAAACACAGCTAGCCTTTGCTGTATATTTCCTGGGGCGAACGTTAGGGTATGTTTTACAAAGTAACTGCAATCTCTTCTCTACATGGATCAAAATGGGGACCAAAAATAAGGATGTCCAGCTACACTCATCTGTTAAAGTTTCGTTATGAGACTCGTCCAACGGCATTCCAACTGCCACATTCGCCCAAAACAAATATAACTGATGGAGTTTATGAGTCACCAACCCAACATTGAGCTGCAGACAAGCTGCTGAGACATTGCAGTGCATACAGTTAAAACCAGATATGCATACATTATATAAAAATAACAACCTTTTCACTCACTCCTCATACTGAGAAGTTTTTATATATAAGTGCGTGTGTGTATTTGTAAAATTGGAAGAATGAAGAGAACTGTTTGATTATTTCAAATATTTCAGTTGAAAAACAACATTATCATCCCTTAATCCAATTTGAGAAAGCTGAGATAACAATGTCATTGTTTGTCAACCTGGGACTGATTGACTCAAACATTTTGAGTTAAATAAAATGCATACATGGATGCATTTTATTTACTTGTGTGACATCATGAAAAAATATAAAGAAATAAACCTAAGGATAAAAACAAAAGTTCACAGCAATGATCATATTTAACATTTATTGTATTTAAAACTCATCATAATATCTTTGTGTTCGAAGAGAATCAGGGCCACATCATCACTGATACTCTATCGTACTTAGCAGAGGGCATCAGGTTTGTTCCTCATATTTCTCATTTTTAAAAGCTAGTCATACAATGTTAGGCTCACCTGTTCAGTTAAAATCCCTTGCAATGATTTGCACCGATTACAAAAATTAAGTATGGAGATTTCTTTCTTTTTCTGTTTCGGGGAGTCATAAACTGTGGTTCTCATGCAACCTTGTTTGTCTGTAGATTTAAAACATTCAATAACTGCTCTATCAGTTGCTTGGGGCAACTTTCGACAAGTTGCTTCAACATGTTATGTTGTATCCTATACCGGCAGAAACAATAAATCATTCCTTTCTCATTGAAAGTTCCTACACACTGATTGCTTTAAGTTTTTAACTATATTTACTCTGTAAGGTCCCATAAGCCCTGCATAGATCATCTTATTTATCAAGACAATGATTTCATGATGTGGATTTTTTTGTGGTTCTCAGAATGAATGCACTCAGAGCATTTCTTTTTTCATAAGCTTTTCATGGTGAGATTGCTCTGCAGAACATCATTGATTTAGTCTTGTTGGCTCACTTTTACCAGGTGAGCGTGCATCGTATTAAGACTTTGTTCTTTTTTAAGACTTTCTTCTCACATTATCAAGAATAAAATAAAAAAATGTCTGATGGAGACAAAATTAATTTATGTGCAGTGGAATTACTTGGAATATATATTTTTGTTCAACTCCAAGGTCAATGTGCATGATGTGTTGATTATGTGGCATGACTAGAAAATATTACTTTAATGTTTTTAACAAGAATTCATGCTAAAGGGTTAGTGCTTCAACTGAATGTGTAATGAAATCTTACTTGCTCATTCCAAACAGCAATAAAGAGGCTTCTGCAGGTATCCTTTTTCAGTGTAGTAAAGCTTCTGCAATGCAACGAGAAGCAACTGAATACCCCCTCCTCATGTATTCAAAGTTACCATTAAAGATAATATAGCTAGTGCAGGAGTAGTGTTGCTTCATACTGAGAAGTTTGAGCATGACTGCAGGAGACGTCATCTGCACAGAAACAAGGCTGCATTCAAAGTCATGCACTGCCTGAACAAAAAGCCCTTTGGGACCACAATGACTGGTCTATTAATAACAGTCTCACTGCAGATCTTTGAAACATCCAGGGCTGGATGCAATGTTTTGAACCAAACTGCATTCTTTAATGTTCATGGTGGTTTGTAAGAGGATGTGAATACTTTCTGCATAGGTGGACTCTACCCTAAGGTGTTGCTGCTGGTAAAACTTAACCAGAATCAACTTTACTGGTCAAACCTGTCGGCACAAAGAAGGAATTTGACTTTGGTTTTCAGCCTTCACAGCATATTGATGTTAAAACTTTTAACAACATTTGTAGTGTGACAATTAGATTTTATAGTAAGTGAACATGTGTAATTTATTTGTGAAACATGAGAAAGTTCTTAACATGAAGAAAATGCATTTTCATCACCTGCCAGCACAGAAAACCCAAAAACAGGATGCAACGACATCTGGCCACAACATGGTGAATTAACTGTTGAGCACAGGTTTAAACTGGGTTAACCACACAACATCTTCAGGTGTTGTTCATATTAAGGTTAATTTCCTTTTAAATATCTAATGTCTCTTGAGTCTCTAAAACTGGAGTTTAATCTTTAAGACAGTTGTGGCTGTACAAAGAGTAAAAATGTTTACAATATGAAAAAGTGGAGGAAAACTATATTATTATAACTATATTTTAGTTTTTAGCTTCTTGTTTGTAGATTACATTTCCATTGTTTCTTTGAAACAAATTTCTTTAAGGGACTCTACAATTGCTTAACACTGTGATGCCTGGACGGTCGCAATTCAGGTGGAGTCAAATTGTTAAAAGTCAAATTGTTAAAACCCACTTTGAAAACTCATTGTAGGACTAATCCCATTACTATTTGTGTTTAATGGCAATAGGCATAGTAGATGCACACTATTTGGGAGAAATAAAGGGCATGCAGATCCTTCAGGCATCTACATTTGCAATCACTGATCATTTACGATAGGTTGTGCAAACAACGTGCAAATAAAGCTTTACCAAGATGAGTCACAGCTAGAGTCATTTCCTTTAAATGACGTGTTAAGACATTCTGTCTCAACACCAACTCTAGGAGTGCTGGAGCCTGGATCTCCTGATCATCTGTAAACACTGAACCAGGGACAGCAAGCAAATTATTAGCTCAGCTTAATGATGCTTCCTCTTGCAGTGATAGCGGCTGATGTGAAGTGCAGTGTGGACACCAAACACAACAAAACTTCATACATTTGTATATAGCAATGCAGATTTTTTATTTTGCCGACAAATTTTATCTAGTAATCCAATCTATCCATGCTTGATTGGGATATGAATCTGAAAAGAAAATGAGATCCATTTCTCACACTTTTCAAATAGGAAAGACAAGAGAGTGCGCTATTTCAGAAAGAAAAGCCTGTTTGTCTTTATAAGACAGGAAATGGCTTTAGGAAAATTGCTTCTTGCCTCGCCTTGTTCATACCCACAGAAAGTCATGAGTTGGTTTCTGGTTTTAAGAGATACTAAAGAAAATCCTGGTTTCAAAACCTCCAAAATTTTCACACATACTCTTCATGTATATAACATTATTTTAAATGTAATGATAAAAAGTAACAATCAGTAAATAATTGTAGCTTTTCTGTGTTATATAAAAAAAAACTTTTGTTTGTGATAAGCAAAATTAGTTTTACATTGCTGCAGTAACATAATGCTGTGATTTTTCTTTTTAACTTAAGATGCAAATATCATAGCAGCCCAATCCCATTTTCCAAAATCATAAGGATTACTGTTAAATGATTGCAAAATCACTTTTTTTCCAAGCATAGTTTCTCCCTTATTTTCCACTTTAAAATAAAAGTTACTCCGAATATATTTATTCAGAAGTTGTTTTGTTTTTAAAAGAAGCCCACAGTAATTTTTAGTATTTTTTTTTAAATAAATTCACTGGTACTGCAGTAGTGATAATGCTACTGTACCAGAAGAATAATTTATGGTTTTAAAACATCTTGAACAGGGTTGCCATTAGTTGTAGAGGGGATACTTGAAGGGAGAAATAACAGTAACCATGTAAAACAAGTTACACTGAAACAAACTGCAACCTGAAAATAATTCAGACTGGTCATCGGTGTTAAGGCCCGGTGGTGTGAACACAAAATGACAATACCGAGGCTGTCATCTGCAGATTTCACTGACGTGTCAGAGTGCCATCTCAATCACCAACGTAAACAACCATCTGTGGTGTCAAATATGCCAGCTGAGTGTTTTATCAGACTTCGATTTGCTGACCAGATTCCAGAGATGCCCTCATGGTCCAGAGATACCAAATTTGAAAATATGAATGGGTGCAATAATATGAAATATAATCCATAATTTATTATTTTTATTATTTTAAATTGGAGAAATAGAACTTAGTTTTGTGTAACTGCAAGAACATTAGTTAAATCATATTTTTATTCTTCAGTAAGAGTAAACAATTAAATAACTAAAAACTAAGTAAATAAATCCAAATAGGAATAAAATGACCCAGAAACCTTTTGAACAATATCTCAAAAGTCCATTACATTCTGTATCACGAGGCTTTTTAAACACCTGAGCAGCAAAGAGACAGAACTCCAGAGATAAAGTGGGTCAACAGAAGAGGTTTAAGTGAAATGGATGGTGGTTGTAACATCAACTCTGAGAACCCAGGCTAATCAAGAAGAAGAGGTGAAGTAGGGCGAGATGAAACCGAAAAGCACAATAATCATTCAAAAGGAACCAACGCTCATTTGAATCATCAAATCAGAAATCTGCATGCATTCAGAGACAGTGGGCAGCAGAGGCTTGTGTGGATGTGTAGGCAGACTGCTAACATTTTAGTGCTGAAGAAATGCAGGGACATGAGCGAATCAGAAGTGACACAGTTTTCATCATAATCACAATTACAATGATTACTATTATTAATGCAGTTTAAAAGTGCATTTATTTACCATCTGTGTTTTGCCGTGCTCTCCATCCTTCACCATAGAGATGATGAGCAGAGAACAGACAAGGGGGAGAAAAACAAAAATGACACACATAACTTTCTCAGTGCTACTATTGGCAGTTATTTTCAAAATAAAGCGACAGTTCAGTTCTGTCCCATCGGTGGTTACACCAGCACGACATCATAAAAGCAGGCAAAGCAAAAAAACAAACAAACAAAAAACACTCATGCAAGTTCTAGTACCGTAAAAATAAGCTCATATTCAGCTCATGTTTGAAGACACAAAGAAGAATATTTAAATATCAAATCCTGTTAACGTGCAAAGTGTTGTACTTTAATCCTCAAATCACAAATAACTGGAGCCTTTAAATCCTGAGATGAAAAGTAATTCTTATTTCTCCATTTCTGTTTGCTGTTCGCTACATTTAGGAGAAGGTAGTTTATACCAGAATGACAAAACCTATGTAAGTGTGGAAGAGATATATGGACTGCTCTATGGATTTAGGAAAATCATTCCACAAAAACGGCAGTGCTTTTTAAAATTAGTGACAATATTGAAAATGCTAAATGAATCTTTCTGCATTTTCTTATATTTTTTTACTCTTGCTATTGTGTAAACTGTTAAAAGTCTACATAATTTTATCTTATTTCACCAACACATTTTGACAGATGCCCCATTGACTTGACATGATGCTTTATTCTGACTGATAAAACTAAACTAAGAGTTTCCAGTGACTGTATGGTTTCAGTTCCATCCTTTCATTGCTTTTGTGAGGCATGTTTTGCAATCATCTGAGGAATTTTGTGTAATTAAGTTGAAGTTGTTTTACCTCATTCTTCTGGAAGAATTACTGGGTGAATAGGGAGTTACCATTTTAAGAACCAGCTTACTTTAAGGGCATTTTCACCCAGCTGTTCCTGTAGCTACTTTATATTTTATTTTACAATAAGGGCTGATCTGCATAGGTACACTTTCAGATATTGCACATTCTCTGCTGAGTCCACACTCATTCAAAGAATGGGTTGTACTTTGGCAGACCGAGTCTCTGACTTCATTGAGACTGAACTCGGACAGGTTTTGCTTTGTGTTTTTAAACATGACCTGAAATAATGTGCAAGCATTTATTATTACTCTTTAAGCATCATGAAAAGATATTCTAGTCTTTGAGTTCTTGAGTACTGTTAATGACAAAAAAATCTAAACCACAAATCTGAAACGAACCAAATTTAGCAGTTTTGTGACAGCAATGTCCCATGTGCAGGTTTTCAGTATCTTTTGCATTAACATGTATACTCGGATCCTGCAGAAGCCAGATTGAAATGTAAAATAAGGAGCAATGATTTGTGAAAGCAAGTTTGTTCACCAGCAGTGGTATTTGAGGTTAGAGTGGAAGCAGACAGAGGAAGCAACTGAAACAGAGTGAAAGCAGGACAAGGCCACTGGTCTCTTAACCAGGGAGAAAAGGATTAGTGAGGGTCATCTCTTTGCAGTGGGCACTGCGTCAGCATTGGATCAATAAGAATTAAGGGACTAGCTTATTTATTATTCACCAAGGCTTTGCAAGCCAATTGTTGATGAGTGCAAGCAATGATCAATTGTGAGGAACAAAACATCCAGAAAGTAACACCACGTCTACAGGGACAGCTTGTAAAAAGACAGAAACAGTAAAAGCACAGGAAAGAACACAGAGTAATCCAGAAAAAAGCAATAGACCCAATAGATGTTTATCATCTGTCAGCTGCATTCCTTTTGTTCTCAACATATTTACATGACTGCAAAACAAAGATCTAGAAAAATAAAAACTCAACAAGACGATATTAGAGGAGAAAACAAGTAGAATAAGAATCCATTTAGTTTACTGTAGGATAATATGAGGGATGGAACGGTTCATTTTCAGTTTGAAATCTGAAAATTTTAAACGTATTAACGTAATAATTAACAATGAAAAACATGTGTTTGCAGGTTCACGTTGAGTGGAAACAATAGCAGCAACTCTATTTCAAATAGAATGAAGTGGCTCTCCTACTTATCATGACTAAATGATAATCCATCCCTGGTGTCCCATTAGTGCTACAGTATCTGCTCATCTAATAATCATTCTGCCCTGCTGCTGGGACCATTCCCACCAAGTTCTCTTATTGTTGCTGCACCATAAAAATGAAAATTATTCTTCAACTTCTCTGTCTTTGTGAATGAAACCATTTGTCAAACTCTTTAAGTGGAGTAAAACTGCAACCTTACGCCAAAGCTGAGAAATATATTTAGCTGTACAGAAGCACAGTTTGCTCATACCAGGATATGATGCTCATGTTAGCAAATTCATATGATGTTCATCTAGCTTACACTAAATTTGCTGAGAGATATTCTGCTTTGGCACAAATTAAGTGTTCAAGTTTTATTTAAAAAAAAAAAACCTAATGAAGAACGGTGGATAAGTTGGTGATTATACCTTGTGGAGCCTATAACAGGAAGTGGGTTGAATCTTTGTGGTGAACATCTTCAACTAGTGTTAAAAATGGGTAACATAGCATGAATTTAACATTCTTTAAATCTTTTTACCAAATCAGAAAGCATTCTGTAACTAAGGATATCTCACTATTTAGTGTTCAAAAATCACAGGCAGCCTTAAAATCAAAACTACAGGACATAGGATTTTTTTAAATCTACATAGATCATCAATCTGCGATGTTTTACAATTATGTAGTATTAACAAAATACAAAAAGGTGAATTGAAGTCATGATCATAGTGACATTAACCGAATATAGAACCGTTCCACCCCTGGACAATCACATTAGCCAAATTTGATTATATAGGTTAGATTATTTAATTGTCTTTTAATTAGTAGATTTGTGATGATTTTTAAAAATGACATTAAGTATCTCTGCAACGACAATAAAAAAGAAAAAGGAGACTGGAACTAGAATTTTAAATAACAAAATTGCATATAAAGGAGTAAAACAATCTACCTGCCAGTTTACCTAAGTTAACATTGACATTTGGAGAAACAACAAAAGTGTAGATGTGACAAAACTATTAACAATCAAATCCTTCAAATATCTGCTGCATGTTTAACAAATGGACATGCAAAAAAATACATTAATGTAACTTGGTGTTAAAGACTCAAATTTTCAGAAAAAGACAACTTGTGTTTTTACGGATAAAAATCACAACTGTTTCCACAAAGTGAGGCACGTCTGAGAGAAATCAGTGAAGTGTGATCAGTGTGTGGTAGGTATCTAGGACTAACCTTCAACAGCCCTTTTGAAGAACACTTTGCAGCTGCCACAGGTCACCACCCCGTAATGGCATCCTGATGCCTCATCCGAGCACACCAGACAGATCTTATGGGCTTGGCCACCGGGCTTGGACTGGCCTGTCACGGCAGTGCTGCTGTTCTCTCCTGTTCTGGCTGATGAGCTGGAATTAAAGCAGAGAAGAGGGTGGGGTTAAAAAAACACGCTCAGAATGTGTGGTATGCATAAAAATATGCGAGTTTTCAGGAAAAATTATAGCCTGCAGAAGCATGATTTACAGGTGAAAAGTGGCATGTTGTATTGTTGCTAGGAGACGTCAAAGTCCCTCTGATAGGTCTGGCTTACAACGAAAAAACAGCAAGAAAGGCATCGTTTTAACTATTTTCTCAAAAGACAAAGATAAAAAAATATATATATTAGGAACAAAAGCATATATTGGTCACAAAAAAATAGAAACACAATTATGTTTTTTATTTCCTTTTTATTTGGTGAGAAGAAATAAATTACTCATTATGCGACATAATTAATAGAGTTCTTATTTTGATGAGCTCGCTGCTTCTGCTTTCATTAATATGAAAGCAAATAAGCTAAACAATGTGCAGCTTATCTCCAGCAACAGTGTTTTTGTGCACAAGCTAAGCTCCAAATCTCAGGCCAGGCCTGCAATTTTATTATAATGCCTATTAAACCCTTGTTAAATCCTGCTGTGTACACACTTGCGACTGTCATTTTCTCTTTGGTAATGATTGAAGTTACCATAACTTCTACCACGCATCATGAAACCTAAATTACCACAAACGGTGAATTTTAGCTATTGTAGCAGCAGCATGCGCAGCAGGATTATGACAGGAATTTGACCGAATTAAACAAACTCTCCTCTATTGTGTTGTAGCACACAGGAGAGAACCCACATTAAAATTATGAAGCAACCGTTTTGCTAAGCTTGCTTCCAAAAAAAAGTAGGTCTATATGTGCAAATATAGGAACAAGTGAAGGGATTGATACCGTTGAACTTTTCAGCATTTCGTCACATTGTAAGCAAATACTTCAGTGTTTGTCACTAGGATCCTATGATAGAGTACCGATGACAAGTAGTTTCTACTTCACAAGTCATGTGCAGTAGAAAACAATGCCATGGTGTTGGTATTCAGCCCCTTGTACTCTGATACCCCTAAATGTCCTGCAAACCAATTTAATCTGTATGTAATTTCACTGCAGTATAATCACAGCTGTATTTATAGAGAACAACAGAAAAAATAAGATTAAGAAAAACATCAGGGATTCAAGGGTGAAGATGTGGATAAGTTTAAGTAGAGTTAAGTTAAAGGCAAGATCAGGTTAGGTTATTTCAAGTTTCAAACATCTCATGGAGCCCAGTTTAATCCACCATCAAGAAATAGAAAGAAAACGATGACAAACCAGCCCCATAGTGAAACGGTGTTCAGATTTCAATTGTAAAAAAAAAAAAAGGTTTCTGAAAAACACGTCTAATTTTACTTCTTAGCTACTCAACAATAAACTAATTTCTGTTTTTACATAAAGTCTGAATAAAATACACTTACGTTTTTGGGTGACTTGACAAAAACGTTCAAGGAATACATTTTTCAACATTGAACTCTGATCCTTTTTCAAACCATCACGTGTTTCAGGCCTTTGGAAAGATGATACTTTCTTGTGTATTTTAGATTGTAACAAAACGGTGTAGAAATGGTGGATCTTGGAAGGCATCCAATTAAAAATGTTTGTCTATGTCGTATCAGTAGTAAAGATTTCTCCTGGCACATGAAGACCAGCTATAGTGACACAAACTTCCAAAGCAATACAAATGTAAATGCTAAGATTTCGTCAATCTCCAGTGAGACAGTCAAACACTTTTTTACAAATGGCGGAAACAAAGTGGGGAAGGGAAAGCAGGGAGCTTCTTGCAAGTGGCACCATCTCATTAATAAAGAATTCTAGTTTATAGATGATATAATCTAAGTTCAGAAAGATACCAGTACCAGAAAAATATAGAATATCGATGAGTTGTTTGTTTATTTTTGTGGTCTGCAGAGAAAATCATTCATGTTCATAATAACCCAGAACATAGCATATAGGTTTATTCTCACCCTCATACGTAAACACCTGGGAACATAAATGACAAAATGCGGCCTATACTGAAACTTTTAAAACCACATCCTATAACTGCTTGTTCTGTCTCATTAAGAATCTGGGTCAAAATTAACACGTACTTTTGCTAACCAGTGTTTACATATATGAAAATACTTTGCTATCCTTCTGACATAATAAAAAGAAAAAAACACATTGCTGACGTTGCTTCTTTGTTTAAAGTAAACACACCACAGTGTCACATGCCCAAACAAAAAACACACAGCCAACCTCTCCCCTCCAGAAAAAATACACAAAAAGCAACAAGAGGGAAAGATATCAGTTAAAAAAAACATCGGCCGAGTTTTATTTATAGGACCAAGAAATTGCTGTTAATCCCTAGAAAAGCCAGGTAAGCTTTTGCACGTGGTGTTTTGCATTGCTTCCTTTACTCAGATCCCTCTATGATCTACAGTAACTAATTGGCTTCAGAAGTAAACACAGTCCACCTGTGTGTAATCTAATCCCAGTATTAAATACAATGGCTCTGTTCTGCAGAGAAAACCAGGCAAAACATCTCCATCTCTACATGGACATCATGGAGGTTTCAGAAAATATTGCTCCATTTCATGTATGTCTGTCACATAAAATAAAAAAAAAAAATAAAAAATTGAAACAAGGAAGGCAGATATTTTTGACACTGAAGCTCTACTGAGCCTTTGGATCTGTGGACCTTCATGGACTGCACTGGCTTAATGGATGCTTCATTGAACTGGAATCTGAGGAGATGGAAAAGTTCTGCAAACAAGCTCCATGTGTGTAATGTTCCCCAGATGCAGCACTGCAACAAGATAACTGATTTTAGACTTTTGATTTTATTGAAGTTTACTTGCTTTAGTTAATCAGTGCGTCTGATGCAAATGACAAACGTTTTTATTCATGCAACTACCCTCTGCGGTAACGCGTGGCCTGATTCAATTAAATAATTTTACTGGTACACAGTAAATGCTTAGAAACCATCTAAGCACACCATGAATCTTAGCTGCTGCCTTGTAAAACATGCTGGTTGTAACAATGGCTCATCAGTAGAGAAGTATGCCGTTTACAGAAAAAAAACATCCTGTTAACTTCTGTTATGAGGGGCAGTAACTGTACACTGTGATGTACTTATGTTTCGTTATGGACAGCTTTGGTCGGATTAAGCTGAAGATGCTATGAAGACTAATTATTGAGTGGCTGATGACTCGTGGAGTCTCCCTCTGGAATACTTAGACCCTGCAAAAATTCAATAGATCAAATAAAACCACCAACAATTCAAGCATATTTAGTGGTGGAAATTACTTTGAATTTGCTATGTTTGGTTTCAATATGATGCCCCAGTTTTATCGTTATAATTTTAAAATGCATTTGATGACTAAATAGTCAAGTTACATAATTCTATTTGCTTCAGTCTAGTGACTAAAATAAATAACCACAGTGAAGGGTTAAATGTAACATTTATAAAAGGCCTTTCTCATACGCTCCATTCATCACTGAGGCATCAACTATGGCTCTGAACTATTTAAAGCCGATTCAAACCCCATTAGAAGTGGAACCATAGTGCACCAAATCTCAGCAAAAGTGCTGCACAAGCCCGAACTGTGATACACAGACACCTAGCCAATGTTTACTGATAAATTGCAAAGTGATTTTCTAATAATAATAATTTTGAAAAACATGGAAAAATCTAGTAGGTGCCCTCACTCACACAGTGATAGATATTTGCAGGAACAGAAGACTGCTGTGTTTTATTGTTTTTCCAGTGCAAATACCTTTTCTTCCTTTGAGCCCTGAAATCTCAAAGATCTGACTCAACACTGAGTTACCATTTATTCATTTTCTCCATTTGACTTTTGTCAGTGTCAACATGGGCTCACTATGTGTGATGAAAAATGAAACTGTTGCCATAATAATAAAATATTGTCTGTTAGCTTTAACGATCAATGACAAACTACTGTCATTGAAATCACTAAAAAGACCATTTATTCCTACAAACCAGCTTTCACATCATTGAAAGGGGCAGAAAACATTTCACCCAAACAACGTCAATCTTTCAGAATCTAACCCTCTGACAGAAATACCTCTTTTAACTTGAGAGCCAAAAATGCCAGTGAAATGAGATGCTATTTGAATGCAAGAATATCACATTACCCTCGGTTATAACTATTCTCTACGTTTGCTGGCCCCAAAGCCATTCAAATCAAATTAAATTAGAGAGCATGTTGTTCAGAAATGTTCCAGCTATGACACCTTTTAAGTCAAAGAATGCCTAACGAGTATCATTTATTATTTAATAACTCCAATTCAAAACAGGGTTAAAATTAAATTTGAATAAAAATCCAAAATAGAATTTATATGATTAGATAATTGTATAATCATATGTTTGAAAAATCAGACTGCCCTCAATGACACGTCGTGACAAACAAGGTTTCTGCAGAAACTAAGAGACACTGAACTGGGCTGACCTGTTATGTCACTGGAGAATCATTTACTGTAGCAGTTATTACAGTGGGAACTAAAGCTAGCCAAGTTTTTTTTTCTCATATCAAGATCAAAGCTTCAGATTTTTGTTTCAAACAAAAAGCATGGAGTGATCACAGCAGAGAAATAACAGCTACTCTACATGTGAAATGCTTTGGTTCAAACAAAACTTTCACAGTTTCGAAGACTGACAATAGCATGAAAATGCATCTATTGCTTTTTGTCTTATTTTCAACAACTGCTGTTTACATACTGTTTTAAGTACGTGTAATAAATGTGTGAATAATATAAAGTAAAAAAGAAAAAGTCTCAAATAAATAATATGACAGATAAAATGACAAAAGTCACTTATCTTAGTAGTTGTGTACATTTTTACATCAGAACATTTTCTGCTTTAAATGAACAAATAAAACCAAAATATCTGATTTATGTATTTCGAACAAATATTTCCACTTCAATTGCTTATAAGATGCATTAATAGATTTTATGAAAGTAATATTGTTTGCTGAAATTATTTGGTGTTTATTAAAAGTGTTCTCCTGTTTGATCACATCT